GTTAAGAAAAGTGTTTGGATAATAGAATAGTAGGAGATAATTATTATAGGATTTAATTATTAAAAAAACTTAGAAAATTTGTGGGATTGACACCTAAGCAAAAGTGGCTTAGAATATTTTTTCTTTAATATATAGAGGACTCGATAGTTACCCACGTTATACGCGGAAAAATGTGATACGCTAGTTTTAGTTTAAATAATCATCTATACTTATTGAAAAAATTATTATACGGAATCTAAAATCCGTTTATATATATGAATTTTACAATTATTTTGTATAGAAATGTATCATATCCGTGAAATAATTGAAAACAGCAAATTTTTAGTTCTTAATCAATATATATATCACTTATTCATAACATGTGTTTATTTAATATCATAATCTTCAAAAATACGGTTTATGATTCTAATATACAAAATAAAATATTGCAAATATGAATTAAATTTTATAGGTTTAAGGTAATTATAAGAATAAGTGAATATTTATAGTAAACTTTATTTTATTTTTGTTTTTAAAAAACAAATAAAAAAAAATCTAATGATGTTTGGTTTGAAGGATTGTGTGATTGTGTAGTGTTTTGATAATAGGATAGTAGAGAATTAATAGGATTGAGGAGTGTTTGGGTAGTAATATAGTAGAAAATTAATAATTTAATTTAATTTTTAAGTAAAAACTTCAAAAACTTGAGAATTTGACACCTAAGCAAATTAATCAAAAAATGATAGAGGATAAAGGATAACCATATCAAATGTTTTAGTTTCGGTTTGAATGATGTATGGGTTTAGATCCAAATTTTTTAGTATTCAAAAAAAATATATATATATATGGAAATAAACGGTGAGTAGGAAAATTGCAACGAATTGTTAGACACTGTAAGATAAAAAAAAATCTCCAAAAAACTATTTCACACAGATTATCTAAACAAGGTGGAGATTTTTACTATGTCTTATTTGATTCAAAATCAATTGAGATTACGAAAGATTTGCAACAGAATTTATACTTGGACCACAAATTTGCAAATACCATTATATTTTCTAATCGTTGACTGATTTTGTCACATTATTTATATGAATATCCAATGAGCATGAGCCATAGCCGAGTAAAGGATAATTTTGTTCACCTATATGATTATATTTTCTTTTGTTGTTTCTTTGGCAAACAATTCATAGGTCTTTTGCCTACTTTTGACCATTTATCCTTCAAATGTTTTTGTTAAGGTCGACCACCTAGAAATGAAAAGTCACGATATAAACCTCTCAAATCTGACTTACATGCATTTGTGACGTCGTGTATATGACGTTGCCAATAATATATTGATCGATGAATGCATTATCTCATATACGCGAAAGATAAAAGTGCCACTTTACAAAAATGCCACATTTTTAAAATCTTTACAAAAATGTCGTTTTTTCAAAATTATTTTTTCTTTATATTATTTATATTTGGGTTAATTATGTTCTATTAGGATTTAGTTTTGAGTGTTTAGGGGGTTTTAGGTGTGGCTTTATAAATCTATAATTAGTGACATTTTTGTAAATGAACACCCCTAAATGGCATTCTTGCAAATGTGCACACAAAAAGTGGCATTTTGTAATTGCCCCTTGATAAAAGTGCATGAACAAATCTAAAGAAACGACAACAATATTTGACACGCACCTTTTCTCGTCCGTATAACATATACAAGTGTGGTTTTTACTCATTTTTTATTTTAAAATTTTTTTAAAAAATATGCGTCAAATATATCACTAAAATCTAATATTATCTGAAGAAAAAAATTATTTTGGTCACTCCAATTATTAGATAAAATTATCCAAATAGTTGTTTTGCGCAGTATAATATGTTTTACCAATCGAAATTTGTTTTTCTCCCGCTTATTTTACAAAACCGCAGTAGTTCCGCATACCGCATGATCCTGCACGAATCGCATTTACACTGAACCGCATTACGCAATTTTTTTATCCCCCCGTACAATTCAATGTCATCATTCGGACCCTCTATATATTAAAGGAGAAGCATTCTTTGATACTTTTGCTTATGCGTCATCCTCTCAATTTTTTTAGTTTTTTCTATTTAATTAAATCAATTAATTTAATTTTTGTTATTCCAATTTCCAAACAAAATTCAACGTTATTTAATATTCAAAATTTCTTTTATTTTTTGTCTAATATTCCTAATTATTTAGTCGGGCCATTTAAGTTTGCACTTTTGTTTTTTTTTAAAATTTCGTTTATATCTCCACATATAAAAAATTGTGGCAATTACAAAAATACCACTTTTTGTGTGCACATTTGCAAAAATACCACTTAAGAGTGTCCATTTACAAAAATACCACTAATTATAGATTTATAAAGCATATATCTTAAAATTCTAAACCCTAAAAAATATTTTGACACCTAAAACCTCCTAAACACTTAAAACTAAACCC